GTCAGGCAAGTTGCCAAGCCCCACTGTCCTCTCTAAGGAATTTGTTGCAAAGGGTAATGAATTATATCTCAAAAAGGCAGTGCATGCCTGTAATTTGCAGTGTGTCCCTTTGCCTTGGCATTGTGAAGACTGGATAGAATGAGGTCTCTTGCCAGCAGTCAGGATGATCTGCAATTATATCAACTAATCCTGCTCAGCATACTGAACAACTAGAGATCTCCAAGCCGCATTATCTCTAGTATGCAACCAGATATGGTCAGAATGAGTAGACTGCAGCAACTCAAGCATCCTACATTTAGTGGTTCTCACAAGAGTGAACAGCAACCCTTTATCCCTGCTCATGAAGAAGCCACTACTACAATACTTTGACAATTCTACAGTACTTTCATGAGGTCCCAGACATGGTAGCAAAGAGGACACAGAAATCAGCTAAGTAATTCCTTCGTTCCTTCTTCCGGATCTACATGGAGAGACTTCCATCAGCAGAAACCCAGCCTTGATGAGCTCTGGTTCAAGTCAGAGGCTTTATTCTCCCGCAAAAATATTTAAACTATCAAGAAGAAGCAGTATTTGTTGTCAGCAACGCATGTAGCCATTTCAAAAATTCCATAGTTTGATTCTTCTCGGAAAACACAGAGACAAGGTTAATTTACTTGAAAAATTACCTAGGACAGAGAGAGGGACATTGTGGTTGAAGTCTCTGGCTGTGGCCTTCCAAGACATAAGCAGCACCAAGTTGGCTACCAAGTGGCAAGATTGTATGAAATATCGCAGCCAGGAGTTCCACCACAGATATCAAGGGAGGAGGCTATTTCCTTAGGACAGGCAACCTGGAAGACCTTGGCCTTGTTTGTCTTTTCTTTTCCCTTTAAGAGGAGTGTGCAGTTGCAGTCCAGAAGACATTTAAGTGATATGCCATGCTATCATAATGGTAGTCATTACTTTGGAACCTTTTCATTATTGGCAGCTGAAAAAAGATATGTGATCAGTATTGCGTAAGGACAGCTGTCCATCACCTCCTATCCACCTTCCAGGTTACACTGAAAATATCTTTAGCACAGCAGTTGCTTTAGCCAACAATAAGGAAACACCCCGCTCCTTCCTAAAGAGAACATGAAAAGCCATCCTCATGAATAGCACTGCCTTCTCTACAAACGCAGATCAGTAAAGGATTCCAGGAGCAATCTGGTGATACATCCTGAGACCATAGCTGAGAAAGACGAATATCTGAGAGGATTTTCTTGTGCCAGGTCCCTTTAATGCTTGCCAGCTCCTGGCGCTTCCCTTTTCAAATGCTGTAAGGGAAGTGGCACCCTTCTGTGAGGGAGGAGACAAAACAAAACTTACAATCAAACCCCAGTGCCTGCACTATTGTGTGGACTGAGTATATCATTTATTTATGGCAAAGAAAGACTACAGGACAAACCAACCTGTCACCTGTGCACTTCTGGAAACATGAGAATAAACAGCAAAATACCTTGGCATGCTGCGGTCATGCAGGATCAGGTACCTTCTTGTCATTCCCTCCTTCTCAATATAACTCTGTTAGTATAGTGTTGATGTACAGCACTCATGGCTCTAGGATGTTCTCCTCACTAAATTCACGACCTCTTATCATCATGGTGGCAAGCAGCTACATAAGGTCACCTCGCCATTACTGAAATAGACAACACAGTCTGCTCCCAGTTGGACTGGCTGCCTCCTCCACATTCCCATCATTTCCACTGTCTTTCTCTGATTTCCCACTGTACTTTCGGAAAATTTCATTTTTCTTTCTTTTACTCTATATGCCACTTCACTGCTCTCTTCTTGGCCTAACTCTGAGACTTCCTAGCCTACCTCAAAGAAAACTGAAATCCAGACAGTTCTGGACACAAATGTCGTCCTTTTCTATGTCAATAAACTGGATTAGTTTATTTAGAAAGTGGCACTTCAGCATTTCCAAATAGAAGTGCTTTAGAGTATTTTTTCTCCCAAGTATTTTGTTGGTATTTCTTCTTAATTGTAGAAGAAAAAAATATCCAAATACTGGCTTTTCCTTTAGCAAATTCATTTCCTGAGCAGCTGCATAGACACTTCTGTGACATCTATTTAGTTATAGCTGTAAATTTTTGCTTGCAGGTAAGATGTAAACGATTGCCTATGTTTTCCCTTAACTTAGATCCTCTTAACTTTGATCTTCAGATTAGTTCCTCCTTCTTTACCTCTCTCCTCTGAAGCATGCTTCAGATCATATCATAAAATATATGTCTCTTCTCTGAAGAATGCTTCAGACAACATATATAAATGGCAAGGATTGGCAAGGACAGGGACCTTATCTTGATTTCTAGCTTTCCATCACACTATTTTGTGAAATGACACTTGTAGTGTAACCCCTTTGACCAAATTTAGACGTCTTCGATGTAGACAGAATGTAGGCAGGAGAGGAGCATGCACGTCTCATCCTAAAATGTCTTCTGTTAAAAGTCAGATGGACTGACAGACTTTGGAAAGATGGACTATGTCCTGGAAGCATCTATTCCTATCCATAGTATCCAGGTATCCAAGTATAACTTTCTACGCTGTAGATTTCTAAGCTAGCTGAGTTGAATCTTCAGTCTTCCTACACCTTTTTATCTCTGTTAAAATTCAGAGTCTTGAAAAGAGTCCAGCAAATTTGATTTGTGTGTCTGCATTCAAATACACTCACTTGAAGAGCAGTGTGACTGACCCCAGCCTTCCAAACATCCTTTGAAATAATGTTTCATCTCCAGCTTGCAGAATTGTTTTCAGGCTACTCTTTGAGAAAACACTGAAATATGTGTCTTCTGCACAGTGGAAACTCTTTAGGACTCTTTCCTCCCACAGAAATTGAACATGGAAACTGCTCCTGCCAGTCTCAGAGTGCCTTCCAGATCCCCAGAAGACAAGCATACCAGCTGCAAAAAACTTCCACGAATATCACAGAATCATCAGTAGCAGCCCCAATACATATATATAATCATACAATATCATATATATATATGATATATATAATGAATCATACATTGAGCACATCCAGGGATATTCTGAGCACACCCAGGAATGTTCTCATTGATTTTTTATGATGAGGAATCCTCCAAGTGAGATAGACAACAACAAGCAGAAGCAAGACGACATCCTCACTATATTCATAAGTTTATGATCTTGTTTTTAATCAGACGCAGCAAGTGAGTGGCTGAGTGAAAAAGAAACAAAGAAGGACAAGGACGATGACAACAGATCATAGTGGCATTGATTAGCTACACAGGAAACTAATGACTCAGAATCACTGTGAAAGGTTCATCTTTAATTTCTGTATAACAGCCACCCCAAAAATCATTGCTCACCTGGCTACCCTTAATTTTTTAATTTCTTGTAGGCACTGCAGTAGGAGTAGTTAGCTATCCTAAAAGTGATTTCATGGACTTGTTCCTCCTCAGCAAGTAAAAGGCAATGAGGAAACAGCTTTGCAGATAATGTGAGAGAAAGTGAAATTCTGATCTTTCAAGGCAGAAGTGGCGGGAAGGAGGCATGTATGTACAATCTAATGAGATGAGATAACATGAGATGAAATGATCAACTCTCCATGAAACCAATCTTACTATTAACTTCAATGACAATTCAATTAAGCCCTAAAGCACAAGAGCAGAGCAGGTCATTAGGGCACACTGTGAAAGTGCAAAGAGGTTTAGAAGTATTCCCTCAAGTGTTAATATTAAAAAGTATGGCCAGTGCAATGCTTCTGCAAAGCATGGTAGCACCTATATGCTCGGACTAGAGTGTGTTTTCCAGGTACAAAATATGCCCTAGTCTCAAGCACATTTCCAGATCAGTGCCCAGAACAGCATTATATCATGGGGGCAGTGCAAAAATGTTAGAATCTGATAGGCTGCAAACAATTAGGGTGAAGAAACACATACCTTATACCACTAAAAAGTTGCGATACTCATATTTCCCCTGATTGTATTCACCATTCGTTTCTGGTCCTGTTGGCTGCTAAGCTCTATGTGAATTTTATCTTTTAGTGACTTATAAAAGAGAAAACAAACAAGGGAAAACACAGGCACACACAGGTTTGATTCATTCCCCTTTCCAGTTAGATTTCTGCTGGAAAGAATTCTCTATATCCTTTTTACACGACAAGGAGGAGTCAGTTCTCCCTCTACAGCCCATGTGTCGAGAGCATGCATGTGCCAAGGGGATAAATGGCTCTTTATTTCCCCTTGCTTAGAATCATTTTATTCAAGTGTCCACATTTCTTTCCTCATCCACTTCAATTCCAGTCCAAAACTGTCAGCTGATGTAGCAAGGAAATGGAGAAATATTTTATAAAATTTCCAGGGTAATTTCCTTTTTTTCAGGTGATAAAAGAGCACTGGTATCCAGCCCTAGCTGTTCTCAGGACTGTGGCTAACATGACCATGTAGGAATTGAGGAGAGATAAAACAAGCGGCAATCAGAATAATGCAGTTTCAACGTCCAGTATCTATTCATCTAGTAGGGATAACAAATACCTTGACAGATCATTAAGGAGACTTTTTAAAGACAATAAACATTTCTCAGCCCTGGTTCAGTCTATAGATCAGAGTTGCAAAATGTCAGAATTCAAATATTTTGCATGTATACGTCAAAATCCTTGGATGTTTTGATATAGAAGTATTACATTTAACTTGCAGCACTCAATAAAGAGAACTGCATTCATCAATCATTCGATACGTTTTGCTAAATATAAAATATTTGGTACTTAGGTACACATTTCTTTGTAAAAGCTTTCCATTATACTATCTAGCTTCTGTGAAAATTATTAATCTCCCTGCTTGGTGTTTATCCTTCCTTCCTCCTCCCTCCCTTCCCAACTCTCCTGTTTGCAATCCATTTCAAGTAGCTAAGACTGGATGCAGAGCAACTAAACAATTATCTAGGATCAATTCCAAAGAAACATTTGAGGAAAACACAAGTATGCTTTATGAGATTCCACTGGGAGGAAAGTTTATTTTTACCTGATTTGTTAGACACCCATATAATTGCCTCTGATGAGATGTGGCTCGTGTTTCCTACTGCAAGTGTTAATGGAATCTGCCACAAGTAGCTGCAAGACAAAGGAGGGGGAATCTAAGAACAAAAATACTGAACTGATTCTTCTCACAGCAATCAGGGATCATGTCAAAGAAATCAAAATACAGTTTCAGCAGCAGCGTAAAGATGTGGTTTCTAACATGTTACTTTGATTTTGAAATGCATTTGCTATTAGTAATAAAACAATGAAGAAGTCATTCATCTGAAAAAGATACTAAATTATATTTTACATTTTTCACACACTATCATCACATGAGGACCTTTTTTGCAAGCCTTTCCTAATTTAACAAAATGAGTCACAAAAGAGGAAATAATTTTTTCCTATAGAAAGAAAAACACTTTTCACATTCACTTAGGAAAAGAGAACCTCCAGGTAAAAACATACTTTGTTTTATAAGGACTGCAAAATTTAAAAAAAAAAAAAAAGTCCTTTTAGCAACATCTTAAAAAACTATGATGGCCTTTCATAACTGCCTGTTTATAAAATAAAATGAATGTGATGGATTCTCCACTTCTTTGCACCATTTGTGATCACTAGGCAAACTGGAAATAACACGCTACACATGAATTTGGAGGTATGCCGGTGCAATCAGATCCCAGTTTCCTTAATAAAAAAATTGCTTCTCATTTTGGATGATTGTTATACATCATCTAAGATTTTTATAACCTTTTATCTCAATAAACAGATATTACTCTATGAAGTCTGTCTTTTGGGGAAGAAGGAAAGGATGGATTCCTCATCATTGTCTCAGTTCCTAAACTCCCCAAAAGATCACCATTTCAACATCTAATGAAAGAACAGACATTTCCCTCACAGGCCTGCCATGTCATTTTGTACACTGATCTGAAGGCATTGAATAATGGTACCAGTGGTCCCTTTATCTAGGGAGCACATGTGAAATAAGGAAGGCAGCATGGCATAAGAATGGACCCTAACTGTATCACTGTTACAGTGATACTGTACCTGTATCACTGTGCACTATCACTAAGGTCAGCTTAGCACTCGAAGATACCAAATAACTATATTGTTTTAGACTAATTCAGTTAAAATGGTGCAAGCATGAGGGTGGGCAAGTTCTCGATGTCTACGTCAGCTCTTCTGCCAGTACACAACATTACAAAATCAGCCTGTGGTACCAAAAAGCAGCCATTCCTGTAGGTTTGTCCATTTCTGCTTATTCAGAAGCTTGCTATACTGAACTTCAAACACTATCTAAATGCGTCATAATAACAATCAGTGTATCGTGCCCTGCTGGGTTCCACCTGGGAACACATCTGTAGTACCACTCTGGAAATCATGCAACACACCACTGCATTCCCTCTATGGGTACTCAGTGAGAAATGGTATACTACTACAGTAATTTCTGTCCCCTGCTACTCTCAGATTTTATCAATAAGACAAGGCTTATTTGCTTCCTTTGCTCTACTAGTTCAAAGGCCAGATCCAGCAAATACTTCAACACATGAGTAACTCTACACACTTTACAATAAGGGCTGTGAGAGCATCCCTGCTCCTGGAGGTCTGACTGCAGAGGCTCGGAGCCAGCACAGAGCCAATGCAGCTGAGGCCCTTCCCTCTGGTGCCTGTGGGGAGAGGCTCCTGGCAATGTTGCGGGGAGGCCACAGCCAGGGCTGACATCCAGCCCAGGGGAGCTGCTTTCAGCTGAGGCTTTCATGGTTAGTCCCCATCTGAGGTATAGCCCTGGCAGCACTGCAGCTGCGCCACTGTCCAGCCACGAACCCAATGAGCCTGGCCTCAACCCCAAAACCAACCCGTGGGTGACCGCCTGGCTGCCCAGCCATCGTGGAGCTGCGTCTCACCCCAGTTACCCTCATCAGGCCTGATCTGGACCCCAAATTGCTAACTCGCGTTTCTGGTTTTACCTCATCACCATGGACTTGTCTGGGGTCTGGACTCCCACTTGACCCTGACTACCACCCCAGGGCCTACCCTGCTTGCCTCGCTCGGGGGCTGTGGGATGGGGCCATTACTGGGGAGGTCCCTGTCCTTGCTATCATGGCCTTGCTCCTGATTCCTCATCCTTTCAGGAGCAGCTAGCCCTCCCTGTGCTCTGACACTCGACTTCTCACTTACATATGAGCTTGCAGCATTTGGGAGAGAACCGTATGTGCTAGGAAATAATTTCCCATACAGCAGTGATTAAGTAGAGAGGGGGAGATACTTGGAAAACAGTACACCTGAAAGAGCAATGAGTGACACTAGAAGGAAAACATGGCATTTAGTGGCATACGGGAGAGGAAAAATGTCCTATATGATTTTTGGTTGTCTGAATATTAGACTCATGACACACACTGGGAAAACTAATAGACCCACTCAGGCACCAGAGACACACTCTGTATGAGTACATGCTCTAGCAGACACGTTTTAGATAATCCAGCTATGTCATCAGAAGATACTACTGGCTTTATCAGTCTGCCCTTCCCTTGTGCTGGAGGTTACCGCCTTCCATAGCACAGTCAGTAGGAAAGGATGTCCACTGATGCTTTAGTTTCTCCAGTTCTCAATTTGGTGTCTTCACACAAAGTTATCTTCACTGTTGACTTAACTGATAGTCTGAACTGTGAACTGCAGTAATGAGGTGAAAGCAGGCACTCTGCTCTGCTGACTCTGCTACAGTGGCAGTAACTTCTGGGTTCAATAGATAAGGACAGTCAGGAGTTTCTACGAACAGATTCACTGAAGAACATTCAGTACTCTCTTAAATACCTTATACCTTACTAGACACCTACCAACGTGTAAGAATTTTCCACTTTCAGTGTAATATACCATTTTTAGAAATACACTCAGTTCTAGATACTCAGCTCTCCTTTATGGGAAAGACACTGCAAACTCTGATCAAGAAAAATGAGGCAAAATTAAGCACAAAGCTAGCACATTATTTGTAAGAACAGGGACTTTGGTATATGAAAAAAAATGAAAGAACTGTATTTGCATAATAGTTTCATGATTCCTGAGACCAACTGCTACCCCCAAAAAAGTAATACTGCAAAATAAAAATACTGATAGATGTGTAATTAGTTGATTTAAACATATATATATATATACACATATACACAAATATACATATGTGTATAAACACATATACAGACACTTGCTATTTTGAGAAGGAATTTTGTTAAAGATACTCTGTACATTGTAATATCTGTACATTGTAATATCTGTACAGACAAGTATTTTATACCTTATTACTATTTTATTATAGCAAATATTAAACTTCTACTTAGAAGTACAAGAAAACAGTACCATATACAAATATCAGCAAACGTTTAGAATAAATAGGTTTTTTGTTTTACAGATATATTTCAATTTTGACAGCAACTTCAAGCTTCTGGTAACTATGAACAGTGGTGAGGAAAACAGGGCTAGGACTTCTCTGGAAGAAACATTCCTTAAGCAGGAACCCAATTTTTCATTATTTTTCTTGTACGGCACTGTTCCCTTGCTCTGCTGGCTCTCACAGGCTTTCTAACTGAGGAGCAAGAACATGTTGCACTTTCTGACTCTTCCTAATCCTGCAGACACCCAGCTTCATGTCTGCAGAGATGTCTCCCATTAACGTAACAAGTTATTCAAGCTGCTCATCTTCACAAAACATGTGTGGTTTTAGTTGGTAGATTTAACTTGAATACATACCCCCCTGAGATCAGAGCCTTCCTAATATTCTCAGTGCTCTCCAGAACCTCTAAATCTCATCTCCTTGACTACTGTTTTACCACGTGAAACATAGATTTCCTTGTAATGGACCTCTCCAGAAACCCTTTTTTTCTACTTGTACTGCTGCTCCTTTTTGTATGTTTTATCTGCTTTCTCCTTCTAGTCCTCTTTATTTTAGTGAAATTTTTACATCTGCTGCTTTTGCAGCAGAAGCCTTAGCTTATTTTTTTACTATTGTCCTTATGCATCAGAGATGTATCTGTCTCACCTTTCAAGAATATTAGGTGGCATGACTTCTCCTACGCACCATCTCTGAATGATCTACACAGACTGTGCTCTCTAGGTGTGAATAGGAAGAAGTAAACTTTTTTGTCTCCACTTCTACTGCACTCTTCTATTCTAAATAGGAAACAGGAAAAGGACTTGCTCCCCTTTTTTCTTCCTCCTTTGTCTGGAAGTAGTGTACACCAATTCATTTACTCTTTTATACACTGGCAGCACCAACAGCATCCTCTCTGTACACTACCCGGCTAGGGAAA